ATATACAAGTTGTCACTAACATTGCTTCAACTCTTTTATTGAGTTTCTTTTGGGTCTCAAATGTTATTTGGATTGTTATTCTCAGAATATGTTTTTATTTCTCATTTTCATCACTACACTTTTTTTTTTTGGATTCAACAGTACATTTTTCAAGGAATTTGATAAGCATCTATAGTAATGTAGTTGGAGATTTCATAAACGAAATCCTCAGCAGAGTACTCAATTCCATTGGAAAAAATGGAAAAATTGGGTTTCATATTCTGCTGGGATTTTGTTTATGTAATCCTTAATTTCATAATCATCTTCATCACATGCTGCTCATAGCCGCAGAACCCTCAGAGGCATTATCCTTCAGTCTTAAGAGAGGTAATTCCTTATAATCTTTTTTTTGTGTGTGTGGGATGAGAGTTTCTAGTGGATTTCTTAGACCATCTCCATTTCATAACTTTTGTGGGTGTCTTAACATAAATTTAATTATAAAATACTAATATTATATTATGGGTGTTTTAAAAATAATAACAAACTCAATCAAAGTGTCTTGATGAAGACACTTTTTTAATTAGGGGTTTTTTTATTTTAGCACCGTTTTTTTTTGTTCTCTTTCATACTTTTTGTAATAATTTAAGTGCAAAGTATCTTGTTTAGACATTTGCAATGGAAGTGTTATAAGAGATTCTTTAAAGCTTTCCTACATGATCCTAGCTACACCATACTACATTTGATCATATGGATTCAAAAGAGACCAAACATGCCGTTTTTGGAATCAAATGCAATCAAACTAAAATGGCTCTTTCTCTCGTTGTTTGTGCATGTTTTGAAGATCCTTTTTCACATCCAGAGAATTCCAAAGATGCATTATTTCCTTCCTAAGTTCTCAAGATACAAGAAAACAAAACTTTCCATATTTGGCCGATTTTCTTTTAAAGTCTCAAACGGCTCTTTTATTTAAAATTTTATGATTCGTTTCATATTTTAGCTTGTAAAGACCGTTGTCTATGAGCCTAGAAAAGCTCAGTTTTGTTTTCATTGTAAAGCATCTTTTATCATCATATATATAAAAGTAAGGTTTCACTCTCTCCTTATTGGTCCACTTGGCAATAAGAATAAGAAAACAAAATATTTTCAATTAAAACACAAATAAATAACACATATCATCATATACATTTAACCCACACTTTAATATATAACTAAAATCATAAAACCTATGCATTAACTTTATATTCACAAATTATTTTCAATTAAAACACAAATAAATAACCTATTTAATCATATACATTAACTCAGACTTTAATATCAAACTGAAATCATAAAATCTATGCATTAACTATATTTTTCACTCAATTTTATTCAACACACAATAAATTAAAATTGTAACTCCCAACTCCCATCACTTATCATTCTATAAATAATTATTTTCTCATTCTCTCATTCACATATTCACTCATTCTCTCATCCTCTTCTACTATATCTCAAATCTTAATTTTTATTTTGGTTTACTTTTAAGATTTGTTTGGTTGGTTGGTTGGTTGGTTGGTTGTTGTTGTTGTTGTTGTTGTATGGATTTTAAAAAATCAAATTAAATATAATTGTATAATCGTAGTTCTAAATTTTAATTTTAGAGATTATACGATATATATATATATATATATATATATATATATATATATATATATATATATCTTACTTTCTCTTTGATTGTTTTAAAGATTAATATCCATTGTCAATTGTTTTTTGAAAACAAAAGCTTCATTAAAAATATTAGTCCTTAAGATTAAAAAAATGAAATCATATGCTTCATAAAAATTAAATTTAGTTAAAATAAAATCATTAGAATGAAACCTTCTACTCATAGTTTTTTTTTTCCAACCTACCACTCATACTCAAATTCTGTGAAATATAGAAAAAAACAAACTATAAATAAACAATTTTTTTATTAAATCCTATAATTGAAGATCAAACCATTAGTATGAAATTTAGCACTAAAATTTAAATTGATGAGTAAATTTAAAATGTTTTAAGAAATAGAAGTTATCCTTGGATTTTTAAAAAAAATCTTTGATTGAAGTTCATAAGAAAACAAATTTAGTTTTCACTTATAAAATGATTTTAATTTAAACTATTATGTGTGAATTTATATCAATTTATTTTGTAAAAGTAATATATAACATGTGTTATATGTTATATTTATTTGTAAAAGTAATATATAACATGTTTATTAATGTGTACATATATAAATAATATAGTAAAGCAAAAATTATTAAAATATGAGCAAATGTAAGATATCAAATTTTAAGAACCTTTTATTTTTCTTCAATCACATTTATATTGAAACAAAATTATTTTAGAAATAATATATTCCGCCTCGTAGCGCGGATTTTTATCTAGTTGATTAAATAAAATCCAGTTTTCTATAAAGTGTTATCTTTGTAGAATTTAAGTGTGTGAAACACTTATTTTCTATTGAATTTGCGGATTAGGATTGTTTGTGTGAAGCAAACTCTCTAATTTTCTGTGTTTCAATAAAATTTAGTTTCTCCAAGTTAATTTTTTTTTTTGTATCTCTAAAAAATTGTTTTTAATAAAATTTTATTATTGGCTTGTAATATAATGAAAACTTTTATACCGTCCGGTTATAATAAATTGAGTTTCGATTGATATGGATGAATTTGATTCTGGTTAAATTTCGCTTTCTTCTTCTTCCGGCTCCATTTCTCGATTTTGCGTCCTCATAGGCGATTGAAACATCTCTCAATTTCCCTCAGCTGGTTTCAAGGAAAACAACTCAAGGATTCAATTTGATTACGTGTCAGTGTAATGTTGCTTCTCTGCTCTGTGTAGCTGCAGCTGATAGAATAATCTCTCAAAGTTGAAGTATTTCGTAAGCATCTTTAGTTATGTAGTTGGAGATTTGATAAACAAAACCTTCAGTAGAATACTCAATTCCACTGGAGTTGAAACATTGAGTTTATTATTCTACTGGGATTTTGTTTGGGAAAAATGTCGTTTTATCTCCCAACTTTCAAAAAGTGGCCAATCAATACGTCAACTTCATATGTGGCCATTTAAAACATGAAATAAACGTTGACTAACGTTTGAGACATGGAAATTCGTTGACCAGGCCAAAATAGACATGCCTTTATCAATCGTTAACGGAACCTCTAACGCCCGTTATCACTCCTAACAACTCTGCTAGTCAACTTTCAAATTGTGGCCATTTTAAACATCAATTTCATATGTGGCCATTTAAAACATGAACTAATCGTTGACTAACATTTGAAACATTAGAATTCGTTGACCAGGCCAAAATAGACATGTCGTCACCATTCGTTAAAAGAACCTATAACATCCGTTATCACCCGTTAACGACTCTGTTAGTATGTCCAAAACGACTTCGTTTTGAGGATAATCGAGAGAAAATCAAGATTTTTCCCAAATGAAAACACCAAATCCCCAAATCTATTTCTACAACAGCTCAAACAAAATGAGTAGTCCTATTATCTCCATCTCCATTTCAGAAAAGCTACATTTAGTCCTATGATGGGTCTACAAGTTTGCTTCCATGATTCCTTTTTAGATTTAAAACAAATATATAAACGATGTTTGCTTCCAATTACTGGCTCTACGATTGTCTCTATATCAAACCATGTCCTTGGATTATGCTTTAAACAAAAAATTTGTCCTGATTTCCTCTCGATTATTTTCAAAACGACGTCGTTTTGGGCAGACTAACAGAGTCGATAACGGGTAATAACAAGTATTATAGGTTCTGTTAATGACTGATTAAGACATGTCTATTTTGGCCTAGTGAACGAATTCTCATGTCTCAAATTGTTAGTCAACGTTTAGTTCATGTTTTGAATGGCCACATATGAAGTTGATGTTTAAAATGACCACAATTTGAAAGTTGATTAACAGAGTCGTTACAGGTGATAACGGGCGTTAGAGGTTCCGTTAACGACTGATAACGGCATGTCTATTTTGGCCTGGTCAACGAATTTTCATGTCTCAAACGTTAGTCAACGTTTATTTCATGTTTTAAATGGCCACATATGAAGTTGACGTATTGATTGGCCACTTTTTGAAAGTTGGGAGATAAAACGACATTTTTCCCGATTTTGTTTATGTAATTCCCCAATTTCATAATCATCTTCATCACATGCTGCTTATAGCCAAACAACCCTCAGAGGCATTATTCTTCAGTCTTAACAAAGCTAACTCCTTAGAATCTTTTGTTTGTGTGTGTGAAGCATGGTTAAATAATGTTTGTATGATATTGTTGTGCTCGATAATCACTTTTTTGGACTGATGCAGCAAATTGCTCAAGTTGTGGAAGCTTCTCTGGAAGATTACGAGGAAGCAGCCAAAATAAGGATGCAGGTTACGGCTCCTAAGAGAGGCGATATTGTGAGATGCATTAAGATCCAAACTTGAATATCTTGGTCGTCTTCTTTCACTTGAAATGGGAAAGATCCTTGCTCAAGGCATCGGAGAAGTCCAGGTAGGTTTCTTTACTCTTCAAAGCTTAGTTTCTTTTTCATTGATACATTTACATTTTAGCTAACTTTGTGACGCATTTTACAAATATTACTCTGCAAAACTTTTCAGGAAGTAATTGACATGTGTGATTTTGCTGTGGGTTTAAGCCGACAACTCAATGGATCGGTTAACATTCGGATTTGCCACACTATGATTTAGCCATGTTGTGAAGCCATAATGAAACTTTTTTCTTTGTGCACATTGTACTAGATGAGTCATTAGTGAATTTCAATTAGTGTTACTTATAAAATTTTCCTATAGCAATGTGTTACAGTGATATATCATTTAAGCAGATATGAAACTAATAGTGCTAATGAAAGAAAGCAATGAAAACTTGTTCTACTAAGGATGATAGCTAAAGAGATCACATAAACAATTAAGACTGGTTTTAGCAATTTTTTGGTCGCCAGAAAAAAATAAATGGCATATTGGGATTTCAAGTAAAACTTATAAGTCAAAACGTTATTAAAATCTAGTATTCATTTGTAAGAAATATAGGTTCATTGGAGATGTCCTCTTCTAGTTGTTTCTTTCTGTGTAAGAAGTTTAAATCTTCTTGAGTTTGAAGAAAGTTCCCGACTCTGAGAAGTAAGTGCTTTGAATCCCACTGACTAATCCTAATGCCAGAGGATTGCACAACTCTATTCCTTGCACAAGAGTGAAAGCCAGACTTGATGTCGTCAAACCAGAGGTAGTACAACCACCTGTGAACTGTCGCTTTTTGGCGACTTTAGCGTTAACTTTCAGCTTGCTCGAAACACGCAGCCTATTGCTCCCAGCCTGACCAAGCAATCCATATCCGATACCTAATCCATCACCAAGAGAGCTGTCTTCGGGTGTACCAAACGCCATCCTGTTGGCCAACTTTCTTATGTCTGTCACTTGATACCTTTCTATCATTTTTCTTAGACGGCGACCACCCCTTCTCTTTTTAGGCACAGAATAAGGAACATGAAGTGGCTTAGGTTGCCTTGCAGGAGGAGGTTTTTGCCACTTGTCAATATTCTTGCGGATTTCCTCCCTCAAAGCTTTCCCGTTAGTTCCAGATGGATCTCCTCTAGTAGCGTCAACTCTTGCTGCCAAAGTCGATTTTGAAGCCAAGAGTCTGCTAGCGCGCATTCGAAGTTCAGGAGGCGTGCTTTGGAAAATCTCTGTCTGCTCCAAATAACCCGCACGAGACTGTGACATTGCAGTAGAGAATCCGACACGGTTCTTCCTGTTGTGGCCAAGAACTAGAACATTACAAGCAGGCATGTTTGCAAGTGCCGATAAACCTCCAGCAGTTCCCATAAGCTTGGCTGCAACAGCACTCCCGACAATAGCAGAGAGATTTGGTGCGATAGATCCCATCTTACTTTCAACAAACTCAAGAACCTTTTTCCTTGCCGAATCAAGAACAATAGCGTGATCACAAGCGTCTAACGTCTTTCGTAGGATACTATCTGGAAGTGGTTTCCCTTTTGTGGTTAAAGCAGTAACTGAAACAGCAATAACAGTAGCTGGTTGAAGAAGGCCTTCCATATCAACAAGAGTTATATCTGTCTCATTGGCAATTTTTTTCACGACACGGGCGTAATCTATTGGGTCATGTACCAGCGACTCAAGCTCTGGGAACTTAAGTCTGTACTTGTCGCGGATAAAGTTGTGGAAGATCACAATCTCATTCTCGATATCAGCTGAGAGCTGATTGCAATCAACGATAAGCTTGTCTTCCAATACAGTTCCCATCTCTGCTCCTCCATCCGAATCCTTCCCGAGAGCCTGTTCCAGTTTATGCATTATATCAGCGTATCTATGAGTTTCCAGTAGCTTAGAAACTCTCGAGAGATCATCATAGTTTAGGGTTTCTGAGTCTTCCATGTCCATGTCAATATTGTCTTCCTCCTCCTCTGTTCTAGCATCCAGTTCTGCTTCATTGTCTGATAACTCGTCAAGGTCTGCGTAGAAAGAATCTTCAAGAGTTGCCATATATCTGAATTTGATCACCGATACGTGATTATGCTCTCTACGGTTGGTCTGATGCTCCTGTCGATTCTCTCTTGTGAGAAGAAGACGATGTTTGGTTTTATATAAAAACCTCACCCACGATAAACAAAAAAAAGAAAAGGAAATTTCCTTTTTTCTTTCGCTTAGGAAATAAAAGAAAATTTACTTATATAACACTGAAGTGCCATGGCATATTGTCATATTGATATGATTTTTAAAAACCCTTGTTTAATTCTCATTGATCATTCACAGTCATTTTCAGGTTTGTATTGATTGACCTACCCTCTATTTGTATTGTGACTATGTATCATATTCTCTGGTTGTGTGATGATGATTCTCAATAGAGCTTTTTATTGTTTGTTATTGTACAATTGTATAAATAAGCTTGGGACTAACAATGGGTATTATTGTTGCAGTACTCTGTTTCTCATTTGTGACTTTGGGCTTTTATTCTGATGCTCTGACACATAATGCCTCTTCAAACGTAATAGTATCATATTCTGTTCCAGTTTTTAACATGTGTCATCATGTCTATCAGTCTATGTCGCAGATGAGTGCATATTTTGCTCCTACCTAAGACAGAAAAGTCCAATACTTGCTGTGATTGAGCTTGGAATTGCAGTCATAGCTCAATTTTTTCATTCTTTGGATGACTTCTTAATGGTAAAAACTAATCATTTTTCTCTAGAACTAATAATAACGTGTATATACTACACTACTTGCTTCCTCTGATGTGTTTTAATTTCTGCAGTGCATGAAAATTCAATCCTGATGCCTTTTTCTCTCTGTAACACTATATTAGCTCTAAAAATCCCTGACCATTTCAATCATTTACCTAATTACGATCGAATTACATATCTTTTCTAATCACAACGTAACAACCAAGTAATGAATAGAATCAAACCAAACGCAAAAAGACGACTAGATATAGAACTAAAAGGAATCAAGAACAACAAATATCATGAATCAAGTCATAGGGAGAAACTAGGCATGACCACGGTTACGGTTATTGCGGTTACGGTTTATTAACCACCGGTTACGGTTATAAATTTTCTCTAACCGTAACCTTAACCACTATATACACGGTTAAAACGGTTACGGTTAAATACGGTTACGGTTACAACGGTTACGGTTAAATACGGTTATGATTATTTAATTATTACGATACGGTTAATTTCAAAAACAAAAGCTTGGATTTTTTTTAACCTTAAGAATAAAAAATGTAATGACGATATATCAAATAATAATTATTTTATAGTATGTAATATATGTGATTATATGCTTATAATATTTATAGTTAATTAGCTATTTTGTTTAGTTAAGTAAACCAACCAATAACTAAATAAATGGTCATAATTATAATGATTGAGTTATTGTTTTGTTATGCTATTCCAAACAATACTATAAAAAGAAAGTTGTGGGAATTAAGAAACGAGTACATGAGTATAAATAATAACTATGTAAACTATTTATGATTTGATTTATGAAAAATGAGTAGTGGAGTGGATTAAATTTAGTAGTGGAATAATAATGTATTTAAGATTTTTATTGCACGGTTAATTATACGGTTAACCGTGCGGTTAACCGTACGGTTAACTAACGGTTTTGATACGTTTACGGTTAATTAACGGTTACGGTTAGTATATTTTTTAACCGTAACTAATCTATTTTTACGGTTAACGGTTACGGTTTTTAACCGTTTTATACGGTTACGGTCCGGTTACGGTTGAGAAACGGTCCGGTTACGGTCCGAAATACGGTTACGGTTAGCTTTTGGTCATGCCTAGGAGAAACCATAGAGCATCCTTGGGTTTCAAGTTGGCAAGATGAGGGAAGTGTTTGATGATGGAGTTGGTTGCAAGATTAAACACACAGATTTCCAGATCAAAAGACATGCTGAAACGGACACGGTTATGAAGTGTGAAATAGATTGTGTTTGGTTGGATACCAAGGGCATGGTTAGCAGGCACAGTAATACCCAAGTGGAGAAGCAGGCAAGATCGGGCAATTTGGTCCTCTGGGTCAGCATTAGGAGCCTTCTTGTAGTTACAGAAGCAGAAGACCCTTTCGCTACTTTCAGAGGTTGTGGTTGTGACCAACAAAACCTCTCCCGGCTGTGGTAACCGCGATGCTAAAATAACAACTATATCCAAGAGGAGAAAACATTGGGGATGTGTCACTCCCAGTGAGTTCTTCGAAACCTTGCTGCCCAGAAAAATCTATGACTCGAACGGAACGACGAGACGTTAAGATGTATAGACGGTAACCCGAAGAACAAGACCAAGAACAAGGCCAGTTAATTTCCTGGGAACTCCATAGGTAACGGAATGAGATCGTAATGAGCATTCCCTTTCTTGTAAAGACATACAAAACAAGCAGGGGAGTCAAAGAACCACACTAAAGCCAAATCTTTCGTCTCCTCGTCTACCCACAAGATGTCCCCTGATTTCATCCGCATATAATGAGTAATAAGAGCCATTAGTAGATTCAAATTCAAACTCCTTATCTCTATCTTCCATACGCTTCAGAGCAGAGTAGTTCGATAAAAGCGACTCTAATGGAGGAAGATCAATCCTATTCCCACTAAACACATCTATAATATATAATCTGGATCGAGAATCTAGCATCAACAACCATTTACCGCAGCTTGCCAGGAATCGACTCCCTGAACAGTCTCTCTTTGTCTTGTAAACCACGTCTTCGTATGGATTGCACAGCAAGCAACCACCGTCGTCTGGAAAAAGCATTAGCCATGGTATTCCGCTTTTCCGGGTAACTGTTTGTTTCGAACCAGAATACCAGTAGGAACAAACCATCTTAGCTCGATGGAAATCCACATAGCTCAAACGTTCAAACAGAGAAATGAGGATATCGAGAGTGAGGTTCGACCAATTGCTAGGGTTAGTAGTCTCCATGGTGTTGATAGGTAGTAGGTTTAGGTTTGGTTTGATTCTTTGCAACAATTTTTTATGATCGTTTGGGATGCTCTTCTTCAGACAAGACTCAGTTTTTGATCTACCAGACCGTAATTAAAGATTGTAGCTTATGGCAACTCAAGCAATCTCAAACCCGTACATGTATCTCAAACTCTCCTCCTCCTTTGGGCTTACACATTACAATTGGGCTGCGGCCTAATGGTTTCAATTTTAAATTTAGTTTGAGGATTCAATTATGTTGGGTAGCTGACTACTGGGAGGACTGTAAAACTAAAAACATTAGCAACTCTTACTAGTGTATTTTAAAATTAATGCATCAAAATTTTATATGTATAAAAAAGTAGGTTTGGTTTCACCATAGAGAATACATTAATGTTGTAAACAAATTCGTCAATTATTTTATTTTTAATATATATATATATATATATATAAACAAACTTTTTCTTTATTCTTAGTGGTAAAATTTAATACTTGAATTTTTGAAAAAAATGGTTTTTTGCAAATTTTTAGAATATTCACCTTTTCTTCTTTTTACTTTGGTTTGCAAGATAAGTTCCCGTCTCCCCTTCCTTTTGAGTTATTTCTTGAAGATATGGATGATTTCTGAGTTCCACTTGTCTGACGTATCTATTTTTCTCGTGTCGTAGATTTTCGGTTCGAGATCCAACAATAACATCACAACAGTTGATAGTTTGACGGAACATTTGTCCATGCTAATCCAAGAAGTCTGATGTGGACATTAGACTAGATACAATGGTGCTTTTTTAAACAGTTGAATAATTATTACAACTGTAGATTCACTCCAATGATGTGTTGAATAAAAGACAAATGATGAGGTGGAGTTAACAGAGTTGTAAAGATTCAACGGTGTTGAAACGAGAGAAATGGGTCTCATGTTGACAAGTGGCAGACATTGATTGGACGATTTTTTTAATTATATGATAATATTTAGATAAAACATGTGTATAGTTTTTATTGGATGCTGAGATTTTAGATATTTCTTATCCCACCCAATTATTTAAATCAATTATATCACAAAATATTAAATTTTATTTTAATATTTTTATAGCAAAATTCATCATTTTTCATACTCTATAAATAGAGACTTATTTCACTTAATTTGGACACACAAAAAAAAATCCATCTTTTTTACTATATTTTTGCTATCAGCCTTCATAAACTCTTTTTTATTGTTTTACCCGTCTTTTTAGTGAAATTGATCATAATAATAATCCTTTTAGCTCCCAAAATTCTTCTAATTACCATTTTCAATATCCAAATCCAAACAATTATCAGTTTCAAAATCAATCACCCAACCATCCCCAACATATACCAAATTATGGATATTCACCAAATTTCTTCATGCCGTCAGCTGTTCCAAACTATCGTCCATATCATGGATCGATGATGTCATATTCATCTCAAGCACCCTCTTATTCTTCTACTCCAATGGGTAATGAAACTAATACGAATGTTGGAGCAACTGAATTTCCCGAATTTTCTACACAAATGGCTCTTGGTGGTATGAGCGGTGTTCATGAAGCCATTCGAAATGAAGAGGATTCAACTCCTACTCGTCCGAGAAGCTCCAAATGGACCACTGAACAAAATTTGGTGCTACTGAGTGGGTGGATTAAATATGGAACAGATAGCATCGTAGGTAGAAACCAAAAAGGTGATTCATATTGGTGTAAAATTGCTGAGTACTGTAATGAGCATGGCTCATTTGATACTCCGCGTGATGGAGTTTCGTGCAGAAATCACTACAACTACGTGAACAAAAGCTTGGGCAAATGGGTTGGCGCTTACGATAACGCTAAACGCATGCAACAAAGGGTGGTCGGAGGATGATGTATTGGCGAAAGCGCATGAACTATATTCAAATGCTGGTAATGGAAATTTCAAATATATAAAAGAGTGGCTCGCAATCCGTGATCAAGCACGTTATGGTAGTCAAGTAGGAGGAAATACTGGTTCTGGAAGCAGTGGATCTAAGAGAGCCCACGAGAGTGATGCTAGTGACGCTACCAACTCTGTAGGATCTAGTGCTCGTCCAATGGGGAGGGATGCTGCTAAGAAAATAGCTAAAAAGAAAGGTAAGGGCGTAGCTTTGGAAGTGGTCAACGAAGAATATAATGAATTCAAACAATTAAAGACGCAAGAGTTGGATTGATTGAATAACATAGCCATGTTGCAAAAGGAGACAAACAAATTGATTAAGGAAAAAACCCAGGCTAAGAAGATGAAGATGTATCTCAAGCTAACTGAAAAGGAATATCTCGACGACAAGGGCAAAGAGCTGTTGCAGAAGTTGAGCCACGATTTATTTGGACATTAATTATTGTCAAGTGGCTGTTTGTATTTTGTCACTTCATGCTTTAATAATGTGTGTTTGTCACTTTCTCCTTTAGTAGTGTTTGTTTATCATTTTCTCCTTTAATAATTTGTATTGTTTCATTATGCTTTAATAATGTGTGTTTGTCACTTTCTTCCTTTAATAATTTGTATTGTCATGTTATGCTTTAATAATGTAATCCGTGAGTTTTGGCTTTTAATAAGAGAATCTTATCTTTATCTGTGTCTTTTGGGTTTCAACCACTCAATTTCGAATCCAATCCTCTAACCATTTTTTTTTTTAAATAGGGACTCTTTCTTCCATTGATGTACCAATACCACAAATCTCATCTTACTAAAAAAAATCTCAATGGATCCATCAGAATATCCTTTTGATATCGAAGCTTACCAAAAGCTGTCTGAAATTGAAGAGAGGTATATCATCAACCGGTTTAGAGAACGCCGAAACAAAATAGAGGAAGACTATCCACCTCGTAGCAAGAGAAAATACTTCAAGAGAGATCATGCAGCAGCAAATCAAAGATTAATTGACGAGTATTTTGCCAATCAACCTACATATGACGATGCAATGTTTCGTCGGTTCCAGATGCGAAAACTTGTTTTTCTTCGGATCGTTGGAGACCTATCAAGCAGCGACAACTACTTCACCCAACGATTTGACGCAGCTAAGAAAGAAGGTATATCTCCATTAGCAAAATGTACTACGGCCATGCGAATGTTAGCATATGGTGTGGCAGCCGACGCAGTGGATGAATACATCAAAATTGGAGGTACTACTGCTTTGGAGTGCTTGCGAAGATTCTCCCAAGGAATCATACGACTGTATGAGCAAGAGTATCTCAGAGCCCCAACTCAAGATGACCTGCAGAGAATTATGCGTGTTAGTGAGATGCGAGGGTTTCCGGGGATGATTGGGAGTATTGATTGCATGCACTGGGAATGGAAAAATTGTCCTACAGCGTGGGAAGGTCAATTTACTCGAGGCGATAAGGGAACCACCACTGTTATTCTTGAAGCAGTGGCATCTCATGATCTATGGATCTGGCATGCCTTTTTGGATATCCCGGCACATTAAACGATATAAACGTTCTAGACCGTTCACCAGTCTTCGATGATGTTGAACAGGAAAATACTCCAAGAGTGAAATTCTTCGTGAACCAACGTCCATATAATATGGCATACTATCTAGCTGACGGTATTTATCCTTCCTATCCCACTTTCGTCAAATCGATTAGGCTACCTCAAAGTGAACCAGACAAGTTATTTGCACAACGTCTGGAATGATGTCGGAAGGACATCGAACGTGCATTTGGAGTGTTGCTGGCTCGATTTAAAATCATTCGTGAACCAGCTCGCCTGTGGGACATAGCCGATTTGGGTATCATCATGAGGTCATGTATCATATTGCATAATATGATTGTTGAGGATGAACGAGAGACATATGCTCAACATTGGACTGATTATGATCAATCTGAGGCAAGTGGGTCTAGTACACAACAACTATTCTCGACCGAAGTGCTGCCTGTATTTGCAAATCATGTGCGTGCTAGATCCGAAATGCTTGATTCAAATGTACATCACGAATTACAAGCAGATCTAGTCAAACACATATGGGCACAAAAGGGAATGTTCGGTGCTGAATGAGATTTATAAGTTTATGAGTTGAGAGTATTGTACTAATTAAGTTATGAGTATTTCTTTACTTGTGTTGTGTGCTTATTGTATTGCATTTTAAGTTTCTCGTCAATGTATGTGTTTTATTAACGACTATATGTATTTCTCGTTTTTATTAATTTCCAAAATAAAATTAAATGAGATAAAAAAATAAAAACTAAAACAAAAACAATTTTTTTTTATACTTATTTTAGATTAATTTGATATTAACTGTGATTAATAATATGTAATCACAAAAACTTAAACATAAACAAAATGAAAAATATGAAATAAAAATTGTAGGGTAAGGTGTTGTAATTTTATTAAACAAAACTATTGTAGAGAGTAAAAATTATATAGGTGTTGAATTATGATGTGGAAGAAAGAGAAAATGATGTGGAGTGTTAAAAAGAAAAAAGTGGGTGTTGTAAACAAAAAACCAATGTAGATAGCCTTAGAACCACTCACCAAATTAAAAGGAGCTAACCAAACAAGCCATTTCACACACCATTCCATTTGAAACAAGCTTATAAGGATAATTTTTATACAAATCAAGTCATGATCATTCAAATGGCCGAGGCTTAGATATTCCCCAAGGAATATATCCTAAGAAGAATAATGGTTCGGGTGAAATCATTAACCAACAAACCAAATTGCCAAATCGACGCGGGGGCTTATAAGGACTAGTTTACAAGCAAGGCGAGCTGCCAAAGGGAGATTTTGTTCAACCAATGGATCTTGGTTCGAGCTGGTTTAAGAGTTTAACATGGAGGTCCAAAACCGGGTGTAAATAAGGAAACTTGTGAACACACCTTATCATCAGCTGAAGCCACGACTTGGAAACCTTCTACGATTAGAGGGCTCTCTTTTAACCTAGGAAGTCGTCCATATTCACCCCAACAAGTTGAAGTTGCAAAACAGCAAGTTATATCTAAATTTGCTTTATTTGGGAGCGTTCACACCTATGTTCACACTCAACAACTCCTCTCTCAAAACCGTTGCGTTTTGAAGCCTCCCTAGTGTATAAGAGCAATTCCATCCTTTAGATACCCAAAAAAATATCTTAATAATAAAATATTATTATTTTAAAACATTTCAAATATAAAATTAAATTTTAATTTTGAAATCAAAATTAAACTATTTAGATGATGACATGTGGGATGAGAGTTTCTAGTGGATTTCTTAAGGGTTCTTCGTTTAAAACAATTTCTTTATTCTCTTTCCCAAAAAAAATTAAATATTTTAATGCAAAGTATCTAATTTAGATACTTGCAATGGAGGTGCCCTAAAATACTTTTTAAAGCTTCCCTACATGATCCTAGTTGCACCACACCAAACTTGATCATATAGATTCAGAAGAGACAAAACTTATCCTTTTTTAGAGTCAAATGCAATCAAGCTACAACGGCTCTTTCTCTCTTTGTTTGTGCGTGTTTTGAAGACCCTCTTTTACATCTAGAGACTTCCAAAGGTGCGCTACTTCCTCTCATAGCTCTCAAGATACGAGCCAACAAAACATTCCATATTTTGATGATTTTCTCTTAAAGCCTCAAACGGCTCTTTTTCTTTAAATTTTAAGATTCTTTTCTTATTTTGGCTTTTTATGACCGTTGTCAATGAGCCTATAAAATCTCAGCTCCGTTTTCATGTAAAGCACATTTTATCATTTGTTATTGTTTTTCTTTTTCATTCAATAAAATCCATTTTTCTATAAAGTGTTATCTTTGAGTTATTGTTATTGTCTTTAGAATTTAAGTGGGTGAAATACTTCTTTTCTATTGAATTTGCGGATTAGGATTGTTTTTGTGAAGCAAAATCTCTGATTTCGTGTGTTTTAATTGAGAGAATCGAATATAATTGCCACACGTCAATTTTTTGTATGTTGTGGTGTATAATAATCTGGTATAGAAAATTTTATACCGTCCGGTTATAATAAATTCAGTTTCGGTTTAGACGGTTGAATTTTGACTCGGTTTTGTCCACCCGTAGACCGTAGTGTTGTTCTACACCGTAGGTATGGTGAAATTTCGCTTTCTTCTTCTTCTTCCAGCATCTATTTCTCGATTTCGCCTCCTCATAGACTATTAAAGGAATCATCTCTCAATTTTTCTCAGATTCTCTATGTCAATCGGATTCAATTTGATTCCATATCAGTGTATTTTCGGTTGATAGAATAATCTCTTAACGTTTTTGAGTATTTCATATTTATATACAAGTTGTCACTAATATTGCTTCAAATCTTTTATTGAGTTTCTTTTGGGTCTCAAATGTTATTTGGATTGTTATTCTCAGAATATGTTTTTTTTTTGATTCAACAGTACATTTTTCAAGGAATTTGATAAGCATCTATAGTAATGTAGTTGGAGATTTCATAAACGAAATCCTCAGCAGAATACTCAATTCCATTGGAAAAAAATGGAAAAATTGGGTTTCATATTCTGCTGGGATTTTGTTTATGTAATCCTTAATTTCATAATCATCTTCATCACATGCTACTCATAGCTGAAGAACCCTCAGAGGCATTATTTTCAGTCTTAAGAGAGGTAACTCCTTATAATCTTTTGTTTGTGTGTGTAGGATGAGAGTTTCTAGTGGATTTCTTTGACCATCTCCATTGCATAACTTTTTTGGGTGTCTTAACAGAAATTGAATTATAAAATACTAATATTATATTATAAGTGTTTTAAAAATAATAACAAACGCAATAGAAGTGTCTTCATCGAGATACTTTTTTAATTAGGGATTCTTCGTTTTGAACCGTTTCTTTGTTCTCTTTCTTACTTTTTTGTGATTATTTTAGTGCTAAGTATCTTGTTTAGATATTTGCAATGGAAGTGTTCTTAGAGATTTTTTAAAGCTTTCCTACATGATACTAGCTGCACCACACCACACTTGATCATATGGATTCAAGAAAGACCAAACTTGCCCTTTTTGGAGTCAAATGCAATCAAACTACAACGGCTCTTTCTCTCTTTGTTTATGCGTGTTTTGAAGATCCTCTTTCACATCTAGAGAATTCCAAATGTGCATTATTTCTTCCCTAAGCTCTCAAAATACAAAACAACAAAACTTTCCATATTTGGTCGATTTTCTTTTAAAGCCTCAAACGGCTCTTTTCTTATTTTAGTTTTTAAAGACCGTCGTTGTCTATGAGCCTATAAAAGTTCAGTTTCGTTTTCATTGTAGAA